ATACATACATACATACATACATACATACATACATACATACATACATAAATCCATATTTCTGTCTGTACAACTTTACATCCATTCCTCCATCTGAGAGTTTCAATAAGCAGAGGTTGTGCTTGAGATCACATGTGGACAACATATTTAGTACCTAGAGGGCTTTCCTATTTGCTGTTAGCTTAAAAGTATTGCGCAATGACTAGTTCAATGCATGCAATACAAAATCTAGAGTTTATTTACTAATCAACACTAAAATGGGGGTGTTTATAATCTTTAGTTCATTGCTGTTTGCTTGAGGATCTTGAGGTCCTTGTTGAGATGGGCAAATGACCACATCTGGCCCTCAGACCTTATAGATGAATGATCGAACCTGCAAAGCCTTGTGACTAATTAGTATATACTATGCAACACGTGTAATTGGAAAGGAAATCTTTACAAAAGGACTTATTTTTAACTAAATCTTCCTCTTTAGACTTTGCAAAGTATTGCAATGCAGTTGTTGGATGAACACAAGAAGAGTCGAGTACCAGAAGAACCGAGAGACTTTGTTGACTGTTACCTGGATGAATTGGATAAGGTGTGTGAGAAGCTGGAGTCAGCTCACATTAAAACACAATGCCTGCTGGGTTTTTACCAAATTATTACAAGTACACATGGTGGCTTTTCTTCTTTCAGAGCATAAATCAGTGAGGTAGTCTAAACGTTCACCTGATCTGAGGATTTTTCATCTATCCTGGTTTTAGAGAGGAGACGATGGTTCTTCCTTTTCTGAGGAACGGCTTACTAACTATATTCTGGACCTTCACTTTGCTGGGACCGACACAACATCCAACACCCTGCTGATGGGTTTTCTGTACTTGATGACTCACCCACATGTACAAGGTACTCCAGATGCCACAAAAACAGCTCTAATTCAGGTTTATAAATGTTGAACTAAAATTTAGCATGGTTGTAGCAGAGAGTCATCCACAACATTGTACTATAGGTATTTTTTTTCTCAGAGATTTAACCAAAACAGACGTACAGATATCTTAGCACCAGCAAACTGTTATTTTTTTTCCACTATGGAGTATGCTATTTGTGGGAATCAGTTTTGTTTGTTGGTGGCTCCTCAGACCGAAGCAGGATAAAACGTCTCAGCACAAAAATAAACTAGATGACCTGAATTCAATTAAATTCATTTCAAAAATACTTTATTAATCCCAAAGGGCAATTATTATTAGAATGAACATTGTTGAATTTTGTACATGAATCGTTAAGCATGAAGTTTGTTGCAAAACAGACGTAATTGTGATTTTTTATTTTTTTATTTTTCATAAAATAATTATTTTCATTTAAAACTGTAGATTAAAGGTTGTGGGTACGTTACCTGACCTTAAATTATTTGTTGTTGCCGTCTAATGGTTATTTAGTTTGCATTGACCTGGATAATGGAGGATTAAAAAGAGAGTCCAGATCAGGAAGTGCATGAAACAGCAAACTTGTTTTATAGTCTTAACATCACTTTTGTGAAGTTATGACGTGGGTTGAGTATTAACACAGTGAAGGTCCATGGATGCAGTGAAGAAGGCTCAGCAGAGGATCGGTGTGACGGCAGAGAATGCTGGAAAAGAGGGCGGCACATGATCTGTTCTGGAGACCCCTGAAAGAATTTTGAGTCTGGATGTGTGAGGACTGGTGTGTTTTAGTCGTCTTTCTGTTTTTATTATCTGCTTAGACATTTGTTTTTTTTTTTCCCCTGTCACATAGCGAAATGGGGAGATTTGAAAATACCCTCTGTCTGTCCATCCATCCGTGAATGTTGTGAGCGTGATAATTTGAAAATATGCGAGGTACCAACATGTTGACGCATCTAGTTGGGTTCCTTTCAAAAATTGTTACCATATCAACATGCAAGATGGCCATGTATGTGTGTGTGTGTGTATATATATATATATAGCTCTTCTCTGCCTCGGTCAAGAAAAATTAACACCCCTATTCAATTCCACAGTGCAACCTCCACACAGTTGAATATCTTGCACCAAAACCATTAGGTTTACTTGCATTCCCTGTTCAATTCTGGTCCAGAAAAACACTCGTCTCAAACTACAAACATTCACTATACAAATCTCTCAGCAATGGGGGACATCAGTGTACCACTTACATACATGAGCTTTTCGTTATTTATATTCTCTGTCTCCTAGTTTAGTCCGTCCAGCGTTATTTGTCTTTTGTTTTGGTTATCTGTTCGTTCATGATGTCCATTCCGGTTCAGTTTTCTGGTGAGTTTTCTTTATGTTTTATTGTGTGTGTGTGTGTGTGTGCGGGGGGGGGGGGGGGGGGGGGGGGGGGTCTGAGTCCATCTACACAATGCTCCACCAACCCTGCAGCATGTCTGTCAGCCACCCCCAGCTGTTTATCACCAACAGTTAGACACTTTTCTGTTATCTTTGTCATCTTCTTAGTGTTTTACTCTTAAAGCTGTAATGTAAACTACTGTACATCAACATGTGATCCTTCAGAACAATGTCAGCAGGAGATCGACCAGGTTCTGCAGGGGAAGGACCGAGTCAATTATGAAGACAGGAACGACATGCCTTATGTGCAGGTGACGACCTGACTCACATTTGTTGTATTTGATGATTTTTAGGATTTAAGACACTGGATAGTGGTGTTTTTTATGAGTCTGCAGTGTTACCTTTTTTATTTCTCAAGACAAACAAAATATTTCTTTATACAGGCTGTGACCCATGAAGTCCAGCGGGTTGCAAACACGGCTCCGCTCAGCGTCTTCCACAGCACGACCAAAGACACAGAGCTGATGGGGTATTCCATCCCTAAGGTGAGACGTCTTGTTAAAACATGTTTTTACATGAGAGAAACTAAAGTAAACAGCATCCTTTGTGACTTTGGACATTATGGTTTCTCTTCAGGGAACAATAGTCATCCAGAACCTGACCTCAGTGCTGAAGGAGGAGGGTCAGTGGAAATTTCCTCATGAGTTTAATCCTGAAAACTTCCTGAATGAGCAGGGGGAGTTTGTCAAACCAGAAGCCTTCATGCCATTCTCTGCAGGTAGAAAACTTTCTACAAACCCAGAATCCACAGACAGATCAAATTACTGAAGATAACTCAGGTTCTGTCTGGTGTCTCAGGTCCTCGGATGTGTCCTGGAGAGGGTCTGGCCCGTATGGAGCTCTTCCTTATCATGGTGACCCTGCTGAGGAAGTTTAGGTTCGTCTGGCCAGAGGATGCTGGAGAACCAGATTTCACTCCGGTTTTTGGGGCAACTTTGAGTCCAAAACCTTACAACATGGAGGTCCAGCTCAGGGCTTAGTACTGAGAACATGTGCAGATGTTCTGCAGAAACATATAGACTCAGATCTATACAACTGGATGTCACAGAAACAAAGACAGGCACAGTTTGGTAAAATGTGTGTATCATCTTAATGTTCTTTTAACTGGAAGTGTCAGAAAACAGAATGAGGAGGAGGGAACTAGTGTTCAACAAGAATGAAAGCATCCTTGAACAGATTCCTGTTGAAGTCATAGCCGTGTGTCTTTGTGCTTTTTTGTGCGCTCACTACCAAAACATCTTTTGCAACTTGCTTTCCCAGAGTCAGAGAAATAATTTACAGTTGTATCTCACTTGGCTGTAACTAGTTGGCAGGTCGAACTTGACGCCATGTTGTGAGAAAATGCTCCAATTTTCAAATGCAGTTTCACTGAATTTAGAGTGTTTGCAGCCGAGTGATCTGTGTGGAGGAAACTGAGAGCCTCTGCAAAGACAGGGAGGCATATTGGAGGCTCTTCTGTGAATGTCATTTATCAACAAGTTGCAGCCCAGTCAGATACTGTCTTTATGCTAAATTAAAGTCCTGTTGGTGTGAGGCAGCGTGCAGCTTTTCTCGGCAGAACAATGCTCTGTTAAAATAAAAATGTAAAAAAGTGTTCAGTAAATAACTTTTATAATCATAATGTTCTTTAATTCATAATGTTATGCTTGTATATTTTAATTAAAATGTGCAAAATGAATGAACAAATCTCAGAAATAAATATTGTTGGATTTAATCAATGTACAAACTTTTCTCTGTCTTGGGATGCCCTCCTTCCAAAGCTACGTTTTCTCAGCAGTGCGTGTTTTAAGATGAAGTTAAACAGAAACTTTGACAGGATTAGAAAAAAAAAAAGTCCTTTCATTAAGCTGCTATCTATATTAATGATCTTACTGAGGTCATGTTCAAAGCCTCGTTTCTTCCCTGCAGGTCAGCTTTAGTCATAATAAAACAGCTTTAGGTCATAAGAGTCAAAGATTTTTAATTATTGTCCAAGATGGCAAGCAGGTATTACACAAAACTTTACAGCTATTATATTAAAAAAATATGAAACAAATGGTCCTAGTTTATAAATAAAGGTTTAGATTTGAATTCTAGTTAATCAAATCCAAAGGCTGAACAAAATTTTGTTTAACCCTGGAGTCCCCGTCCAGGCTGAATGCCAGGGCTTGGACTGAGCAGAACCCAAAGAGAGCACAGGATGTCCAGAACCTCTTTCAGGTACAGGAAGAGGACAGGTGGGAGGGTGGTACCCACTGAAGGAAAGACAAAACATCATTAGCAACATCTAAGAGCAAGAAATCAGCCTTGCTGCATAAAAAAGGAAACCTCTGATAGATTGGAGATAATGTGAAGACGAACAGACACACCAAAGGCTCTGCATGTTTATGGACTCTGAGCAGAAACCGGAGGAATCGGAGAATGTGATACAACCTCTGGACAGAAACCCCCAACGGAGAGTCAAACTACTGAGGGGATACCACACTACATCCCCACTCAGCAGTTTATTTTATTTTATTTTATTTCATTTAGTGATTTAACCTTTTTTTTATTATTATTTTTGTTCTTTGCTGGTTGGTGCAGCATATTTCAGCAGGCGGAACCCTAAAGGATCACATAGAATAATAATAATAATAATAATACTTTATTTATAAAGCCCTTTAAAACAACCATAGCTGCAACAAAGTGCTGTACATATAAAATCAAGAACATTTAAACATAAAAGAATAAAATAGGTAAAACATCAATAAAAACAAGAAAAAACAGCAAATATCAGTCTGTGCCAAAAGCCAAGGAATAGAAATGCATTTTTAAAAGAGATTTTAAAATGGCAGTGGCATGCACAGACATTTTGGGGGGCAGGTGCTCAAGTGGAAAAAAAAAAGGCCACTTTTTGCTGCACATCGAACCACCGGCACCCATACTAGTGAGACATTTTTTACAGGCACAGCTTGTAAAAATCAACAGTCATATGGTGTCTGATGCAGATGTTTATTAATGTTCAACACTCAACAGGTTGGTGCCTCAAACAATCAAATTGGCAACAAGAAAAAGTATAGCAGCGATATATTAGTGTCTATATCCAGGATCCAGGGACATGAGAACCTGGGGGGGCGGGGTTTAACTTAAAACAAGGATGTATTATAAGTGCATAGATAATAAATAAAAAATATAATAATAATAATAATAATAATAATAATAATAATAATAATAATAATAACAATAATAATAATAAAACAAAATTATAGACCGATTAAAAAGTAGAACACTGATTCACAACCAACTGTTAAGCAGAACTTTCGGAGACAAATTTGAAACTTTCCTTACCAATGCAGGGTTTGCGTTTCCTGGTGTCTTGCCCCATTTGTGGTGTGTTTATGTCTTGCAAACTTCAGATTTATTAACTTCAGTTAGATGATGTTGGTTCAAACACACTAATTTTCCAGGAAGAATCTAAAAAAAGTTAAATCTGGTCCTCTGGACATTCAAAAAGCATGAGCATGCATCAGGATATTTCCAGGAAGAACCCATTTCTAGTTTCTCGAGCAACTTTTACCTACAGCCTGAGAGCTTGTTATCAGACCCCTTTCTCCCGGTGACGTTTAGAGGCTAAACACCTTTCATACAAAGTTCACAACAAAAAGGGGGTGGGGCTAACTGCCTTCCAACCATACATCTCACCCAGACCAATGCTTCATTCAGTCAAATCCCTAGAAACATGTTTGTTTCCGTGATACTCCTATGGCTCTGTGTTTGGCTCATCATCCTCCAGCTCAAAGCCCGGAGGCCCAAGAACTTCCCCCCTGGACCCACCACCCTGCCGGTCCTGGGGAACCTTCTGAACATAAACTTGGAGAACCCGCTGCAGGACTTTGAGAGGGTAAGAGAAGTCCTGCCTTTTTGGATTTTACTCTTTAAATGTTGCAACACTGGTTGGATTGTTATTATTATAACTAAAGGGTGAAATAAACACTCAAGAACTGTTTTTCGATCTGTTGGGACTCCCGTTTCTCTGCAGCTTTGTTGCTTTAACAGCTTATATAAGTACAGCATGAACTGTTTGCACACTTGGAGCGCTGCCAGCTTACATTACAGGTCATAATTTTTCAAACTTCAGCTCCAGGTGTGTTAGTGCAGACAGTTTCACTAAAATATCCACAGAAGATAGCAGAACAATCTTTGCACTGCAGGGTTTGGTTATATGGACCTTGCAAAGTCCAGACCCTACCTGGATCCCCCTCAGACTGCTTCTACCTATCTTATGTGAGTGTTTTATCTAATCCAGGCTCCAGAGAGCAGGCTGCCTCCATACATGTTGTGTATAAAGCCAACAACCCCCC